TTATTAACTAAAGGAAGATTATTACCTCCTCTTAATAAATTAAGAAATCTTAAAAAGCTATTATTACCTTTATTATTATTATTAAATAAGCTAAATAATTTAAAATTAAGAAAATCATTATTATTAAGTAATTCCTTAGCTTTTATTAAGATATAATTAAAGTTAAAAATAATATAAATATTTAAATTATAATCTTAAATTTAATTAATTTTAAATATAATATAATATTCTTATTTTTAATTTACTAACTATTTAAAATAATTTAATATTTTAAGAATATATATAAATCCCCTTAAAGTATTTACTTCTTAAATATAAATGCCCTTAACTTAAAAAGTTTTCTTAATAATATATAATAAGTTTTTATTAACTTGCTTAAATATTAACTTAATTTAATTATAAAAGTTTTTAATAAATACTTTATATACCTTATTACTTAATATATATATTATAGCTTAAATTTAGCTTTAAATATAAGTATTTAAATATTATTTACTGCTAAGGAATCCTAAGAAATCTATTTATATTAAAGGATTAAGTATTTTAATAATGCTTTTAAATATAAAAATATAATCCATTATAATTAATATTAATAAACTATTTTAATTAATAATATTGCTTATTATATTTATTATATTATTATTATCTCTTATTATTTTAATAAAGTAATAATAAAGGTATATTTAATTTAAAAAAGAAAGTAATAAAAAGAGGAAATAAGTAATATTAAAGGAAAATAAAAAAGTTAAGAGTTACTTTTATAACTTAATTATTAAAAGATAAATTAATCCCTTTCTTTATATTTATTTATATAATAAAATACAAATAAATATATTATTAACAAAAATAAATATTAATTTAATTCTTTTAACTATAACTATTAAATTTAAAAGTTATTATTAAGATTATTTAAGGCATAATAAATATATATATATTAAGGATAAAGAAGTTTATTATAATTTCTTATTATAATAATTACCTCTTTATATATTAAATATTATTATTATTATAAATTATATTATATAAATTTATAATATTAATAATGCTAATTAATATAATTAAAAACTTATTTCTTTAAAGTTTATTAATTTATAATTACCCTTGCAACCATTAATTAATATTAATTAAGTTATATATTATAATATAATATTTAATTAATATAATAATTAATTATTATTAATTATAAAAGGAAAAAAGGTAAAAGGCCTAATTATATTAGCTATTTTATATATAGCGCTAAAGCTGCTGCTTGCTAAGCATCCTAATAAGCCAAAGCTACCTAATCCCAAACAATCCTTCATACAAACAATACTTATTATTCCCATAATTAATTTATAAATTATAAAAGAAAATAAAATTATTATATAATTAAATAATTATTTAAGGGTTAATATAAATATTTTACTTTATTAACTTATTAATATATATTTTAATTTATTAAATAACTTTTATAATTATTATAAAAATAATTATTATTTAAACCTTATTAAAAACCTTAATAAAAATATTAAATTAATTAATAAAGATTTTATTTAATAATATTAATTAAATTAAAAAACTATTTTATTAAATTTTTAATAACTTATAATAAATATTATAAATTTTATAAGTAAAAATTAAATTAATTATTATTATAATAATTTATAAACTTAAAAATAAAAAATAATATTATTATTATAAAATATATAAAATTTAAAGGCTTAATGCTTTTATTTTATCTTTAAAAATATAATTAACTTTTAATAATAAAAATAAAAATGCTTTAAAGCTAAATATAAAAAAATATTATTATATTAATTTATTTTATTATTAATAAGTTTTAATTATTTTTAAAAATTCTTTAATTATTTATTAAACTTATTATTAATAGCTTTAAGATTATTTATAATAATAATAAGGGTAATTTATATATTATTTTACTTTATAATAACTTTTTTTATAAATTAATTAATATAATTATATATAAAAGTAATTATAATATTATAATTACTTATATAAATAATTATAGCATTAAAAAAGAAAGAAAAGCTATATTAAAGTAAAGTAAAAATAATAATAATTAAAAAGAAAAGAATTAATAAAAATAATATTAAATTAATAAATTTCTTATTATTAATATTTATTTAATAATTATTTACCTTATAACTTATTTATTAATTATTAATAAAGAATATTATAATGCTTATTATTATAACTTTTAATTAGATTTATAAATATTTATTTATAAATAATAACTTTAATATAAATGTTATTATTATATAAATTATTTAATAAAATTATTCTTTAAAAGTAAATTATTAATAAGAAATAAGGGTAGTAATAATAATTTAATAGGTTTTAATTATTTAAAAGGTTATTATCTTTAAAAAAGGTTATTAATTAATAATATAAAGATTTATAATTATTATTTTTTTATTAAATAAATGCTTTTATAAGATTCTCTTAATAAAAATAATTATTTTTATACTTCTTTATATACTTAACTTATAAAATAATATTATAATAATTATAGAAAATATTATAAATTATATAATATAAATATATAAGTTATTTAATTATTAATTATGCTTAAAAGGCAATACTTTTAATATTTTAAGTTATAATGCTTTTTATATAAGCAGCTACTTGCTTATTATTTATAAATTTATAATATTTTAATAATTAATATATTATTATAAATAAAAAAGTTAAGAAAATAAGTTTTAAATATTTTTTTAAAATTTAATAACGTTTATAAAGCTTATTATAAATACCTTATAATAAATATTTTTAATATTAAAAGTCTTTTAATAATTAAAAGAAAATTTATAATAATTATATTTTAATTATTATTAAATAATAACTTTTAAAGTTTTATAATATTATTTATATTTATAATTAACTTATTAAAATTAATAATAAAAAAAGCTTATTTTTAATTATTATTTTATTATTAATCTTTTTTATAATTATTATATTAAAGAATAATAATTTATAATTAATAAATTAAAAAGATAAAAGTTATTAATATTTATTTTATTAAAAAAATAAAAAAAGTATTTTAATTATAATAAAGATTATTAAATTATATTTATTTTATAAATTATTAAAAAAATAAATAAAAAAGGAAATTTAATATAATTATAATTTTTATAATTTTATAATAAAGTAATATTAATTATAATTAATAAATTATTTATATTATATATTTTTTTAAAAGAATTATAAAAAGATTAATTAAAAGTTTATAAATTAAATTTTTAATAATATAATTAAAGATATTTCTTTAAATTTATTAAAAAAAAATAATAATATATATTTAAATACGTATTATTTAATTAAAATTAAATAAAATTAATATATTATTTAATAATTTCTTTTAATAACTTTTAATTTATTTAAAAAAAAATAACTTATTATTATAATATTAAATTATTAATACTAATTACTTTAATTTTAAAATAATAAAGAAAATATTAAATAAAAATAATTATTTATTAATGTTTTTTATAATAAATAATTTTAAAGATTAATTTAATAAAATTAATTTTTATTAACTTTTTAATTATTAAATATCTTAAATAATAATTAAAAACCTTCTAATAATAATAAGGAATAAAAAACTTTTAATAAATAATAAATTAATAAAAATAAAAGTTAAATTAATAAATCTTTATAATATTATATTTAAATTAATTATTATCTTTTTTTAATTAATAAATATTATTTAAAAAAATAGCTTAATAAATATATTAAATTAAAACTTATAATTTAAAAATATAATATTAAATTTAAGTTTTTATATTAATTTTTAAAATTAATTATATTTTTTAAATAACTATTATTATTAAGTATTTATATAATATAATTATTAAAAAAGATATAAGCTTTTATTTATAAATATTATATAAAAAAAATAAAATCAAAAGAAATAAATAATAATTTTTAATTTTTAACTTTTTATTTTTAATAAAAAGTAAAAAGGTTAAAAAAAGGTATATTATTAAGTATAAGAAATAAATTATAAGTATTTTAATTATTTTTCTCTTTAAAGGTTATTATAATAACTTTAACTTTTTTTTATTATTTTTAAATTTATTTTAATTAAAATAATTAACTTTTCTTTATTATTTTTAAAGTTATAATTTATAAATTTAATAACTATTTACTTTATCCTTAAGCACTATAGCCCTTTTTTATTTCTCCTTACATTAAAGTACCCTTAAGCGTATTGCTAAGGCTTTTAGCAGAACTCTGCTCCACTATATTTGTGGTGCTCGTTTTCAACACCCAACAACAGAACCGCTAATTGCCAACAGTTCAAACCTCGAAATGGGGAAGCATAAGTCGGGGTTGGATTGATAAGATACAGGCAGGCTGCACCTCGAGTCACGAATTTCCGCCTGGTTGCTGGTGTCTGTCGACATCAATGATTAGAATTAGTACCGAGCTTATGTACATCTCGTCAAAGTCTTGAATGTAATCCCCCATTCAAGGAAAGGCGTTGCCGCACACACACCGTCAACCGCACCCTTCGCCGTCGACACCATCGGTCCCGGAAAGCCAGCCCTGTGTGCCTCACAAGGCTGGTTCAGCCGGGATACGAAATAACGTGTTTTCCTCCTCTTGTGGTTCTTCTCCTCGCCGTTCCCATGCACTCCCAAATACCTTGGTCCACACTCAACCTTCCAGCAAAGACGGCGAAGCCTCCTAGGCTGTCGTTGGATCTGGCTGAGTGGCTCTGATATCAGGCGTCGACAGGGTGCGGCGATGATGTGTGGGCAATTAGTCGGATATATGGGAGGTGTGTGATTCTCGAGAGCCGAACTCGAGAGTCGTCTAAAGATCTCACACCGTTTCTAAGAATGGTATCTTCTTCTTCCTCGGCGGGATTGATGTGTGCCCGTCCACAAGTCGCGAGCGCGCCTAGATCGCCCGCTCGCCCGTCCGCCCCCTGGCTCCTCACGCGGCGGTCGGTCACGCGCTGCTGGCTCCGCTTCTACTCGACACAAACTCTGCTCCTACAGCACGGCAGCGCCCATCATCGCCACGGGCACGACGTATTTGATGACGTTTATCACCGGGGTTGCTTGCGCGGCGGCACCGATCACCGAGGCGGTGGCGATAGGTGACACGCTTGAGTAGCCGGTGAAGGTGTTGCCCGGGTTCGGCGATCCAGTCGTGCCTGATCCTCCCCCCGTGGAGCCGCCTGATGAGCCTCCCGAGGTCGCTGTTGGCGCTGATGTCGCGGTGGCTGTGTTTGTTGCTGGAACGGTCCCACCAATGCCCGACACACTTGCTGTTCCCGCCGCCGCTTGTGCTCCTCCTGCTGGCGCTGCGCACCCACAGACTGCAATGGTGTTAGTATTCTGCTGACACAGGCCATGGAAAGGATTACAAGCCGGGGCGAGCTCCCCAGGACAAAGAGCTCGAGCCACATACCTTCTTCGGACCCGTCAATGACAGCCTGGTAGCTGGCGGACGGGCATGCTGATGACACACAGCCCTCGACAGCAGCGTAGAGCGCCGCCGACTGCGCGCATTGGCAGCTGAAGTCTGTTCCCTGGCACCCTATCGACGGCGCGCCGTTGAGGATGCAATTTTGAGCGCAGCCGGGGATCGCGGTCAGGGCGACGTTGATGCAGTCTTGTGCGACGGCGACTCCGCAGCAGAGGAGAGCGAGCGCGTGTAACGAAACCAGCCTCATCTTTGAATGTGTAAATGGTTTTTTACTGATTAGGGTTCTGTTATGAGATATTGAGTGAGCCCAGATTCATCCTTTTGGGCATCCGATGGGGTCGTCGAAAAGAGTCGTCCCGAGATGCTGAGATGATGGATGGATAGCCTGGAGGCAAAAGGGCAGGAAAAACAAACGAGAGACCTGCGCAATCTTGGTACTCGGGCTGCAGAGCAAGGGTTTTCTTGGGGGGATGTGACGGTGAAGAAGAGGAAATCTGAGCACTGATGTGAGTGGTCGGGGTCGAGGACTGATCACCCACCTTCCCAGGTGTGCCCTGGTAACCTTACATGGCGGGATGGTCGCCTCTTGCATGGGCGGGCCACCCGAGCAGATGCAGCGAAGCGACTGGAAGTATAATTGGCCTCCATGGGGCCCCCGCAAACAGAACGGCTGGACCGACCGGGCCTTCTCAAGGCTGGTGTGGCTGGGATTGGCCTGAGGACGGGAGCCAACAACGACTGCAATGACAGTATCCAGAGGCTTTCACATGGCCGACTAGGTGAAGCCGTGGTGTGGAGGAGCTCGGTATGATCTCACAGCCACCACCACCTGGTCCAGCTCCTCCACCTTTCCCCCGCGTTGTTCTTCCCCAGATTGCCCAGGCCAGCCAGTCCACAATCGGGGCCGTTGCCCCTGGTCCCTGCCGGCCTTGGCGCTAGCCATCGAGGGCCTTGCTGCCATGTTCAACCCTCCATCGGCGAACCCCTCTCTATAGGGTAAAGATCCGCTCAGCTATGCCGGTTCAGGGTGACATGATGTTCACACTTGGGACCAATCCGGTAGCTGAAGCGATGTGGAAGGCGGCCGAACCGCGACTCGGGCAGGTATTACGGTCACATTCGAGCGCAGGCCAGAAAACAACTCGTTTGGAGCTCCTCACCTCACCTCGGCTGGCACTGCTACTTTTCACCCTCTCACATGCACGTGGAAAGCGGAGAGCGTGTTCCTCCTCACGCGGGCGCTGCCTGCCAATGCCCGCGAGATCGTCCTCCACCACCACCATCGACTACGGCTGAGGATTTGGAGTCGCGTGCCTCCAAAAGTTCGTATTTTCCGGCGTCCTCGGCCCTCCGCGCTGCCCTACTGGCTTATCAATAGTCGCTTGGCGCCGCCCAATCAGAGACATATAAACGACTTCACGAGATGGCTTCAGAGACATGAGCAGCTGCCCCCAATACGTCAATTGCAGTCAAGTTCGACGCTACGTTCAAGGGGAAAAAAGAAAGGAATCCAGAGTGCTGGCAGGCGAAGTAGAGAAAAGTTTCAGACAGTCGGGTTTTCGTAGTGTAATGCTCCACCCGGTTCGGCAAGAATATCCGCAGAACACTGTGGCCTCTTCTCCTTGTGTATTCTAAACGTGTCGCCATGGAGTTCTGGTAGTATTTCAACGGCTACGCATCTTCCGTTGTCAATATTCTTATCAACCTGTCTACTGGGCCATTGATTGACATGACCGCAGAATGGAATTCGTAGAATTCGTTTCCACAGGTCCGCCAATGTCGCGCGTTTGCCCCCAGTCTTGGAACCCAATCCCACACAACAACAGCAAGCCCCGGTCGCTTCATCACCAGCAGCTGCGGAACCTTCCGAACCAACACCGTCTACAAGCCGGACGGTCGCCATTATCTCCTCCATAACTTGCATCACCGGGATTAGTAATCTGCTGGCCGGGTTGTTGACAGTATGCATACCCGTGATAGCTGCGGATCTGGGCATCAAATCCGGTCTGCAACTATGGCCAGCCTCAGCTTTCGCCCTGGCATGCGGCTGCACGTTGCTCCTCTGCGCGACGGCCGCAGACCTAATCGGATGCCGCCGTGTTTGCCTCCTGGGTGCCCTGCTCCAAGCTGGTAGCGCGCTGGGTGCAGGGCTCTCCACGACACCAACCCAGCTCATCGCCCTGCGCGCCTTCGCGGGCGTGGCGGCGTCGTTGTGCCTGCCGAGCGCCGCCGGGATCGTTTCACGCACGTTTCCGGGCGATGGTCGCCCACGCAGCCGCACCGCTGCTTTCTCCGCCATGGGAGGCGGCCAGGCCCGTCGGTTTCGGGCTGGGTCTTGTTTTAGGTGGTGTCTTCAGTGACAGCGTTGGATGGAGGTGGGGTTTCCATGCCACGTCTATCCTCAACATCGTCGTCCTGGCCATCGCGCTGTGGTCGCTGCCAGCCGGCGTCGACGACGATGCACCCCTGGGCCGGGCCACCCTCACCCGTCTGCAGAAAGAACTGGACTGGGTCGGCGCGTTGGTCATCAGCACAAGCCTGGCTTTCCTGTCCTACGTACTATTAGCTGTCGTAGCGGACTCTGATGCAAGCGTTCATATGCGAGCGCCCCTGGACATCGTGTTCCTCGTCTCTGTATTTCCCTCCAGCACCAGTCTGCGGCTTTCTCATGAACATTGCAGTTGCACTCTTACTCCCTTACTTGAAAACCTCCTATGCTGTGCCTGTGGCCTGTTTTGTCAGTGGCCTCGCGCCGCTCCTACTGGCAGCGTTATGCCGGGTTAACGGCCCCAGCTACTGGCAGGCTGCCTTCCAGGCCATGGCTCTCAACCCGCTGGGCGCGGACCTGATGTATACTATTGCCATGCTGGTTACTACCGAGGCATTCCCCCCGAAGACGCAGGCGTTGTGGTGGTGTCTTCAACATGGTCTCTCAGATCGGCAAGAATGTTGGTATCGCAACAACGGCTATCATAGCACAACAGGTGTCTTCACCGCTCATGGTAAGCTCCGATTCAAAAGAAGCATTGCTTCGAGGGTATCAAGCTGGCTGGTGGTATAATTGTGGGCTGAGGTTTGTCCCGGTATTTGTTAGTCTCTGGGGTTTGAGGAGCGTATGAAGACTTGGTGTCAAGCGGGACTGAGGTTTGCGGACTAGAGATAAGAGAATTAAACACATGTTCGCCGTTCGTCACCCAGCCAACTACCAATAATTATGGATTTTCCTCTTCTGCACTAGATGTGACACGACATCTGAACACCAGCCAATGTGCCGTAAACCACGTGATTATACCATTAGGCCTGCACATGCAGATCTCACCCTCAACGAGGTTCTGTGGACCACGGCAAATCTCGAGCGTCCTGAACCGCCAGTCGCACCTTTATTGGGGAAGTTGACGATGACGCAAGACAGCTTCCTAGAGTCAATTTGTCTAATAAGTATCGAAGATCACAGTACTCAGAGGATCCTGCGCTTTGATGTGCACACTCGACTCTCCCATCCCGTTGCCCCGTTACGACTGTGCAAATTGGACTGGATGAACTGCTTCACAAAACACGTGCTCTGTGAAAGCCAATTCTCTTTTGGACTAATGCAGCTCGGAGATGTGCAGCACATGCGTAGTGCAGCTGGATGCAACACGGTCTGTCGTCATTCTCTTTTCTGCCGAGGACATGGACAGTGACGCTGGGCACCTGTGGCTATGAGGATTGCTTGCCATTCGACGTCATGAAGTGAAAGTTAAACTTTGGGCCACATCGATGGCTATGACCTCCCACCCGGGATGTTTCCCTGATTGTTTATCGGTCCCAACGTCTGATTGGCGCAGGTGCGAGGCAATCATAACCCACCATCCCGTGCTCCCAAGTCTAATCGAACAGCCAGGGTCTGGTTTCCCCCCCACCAAGAGATAGAGATGAAGCATTATGTGCCAAAAACAGAATGTCTGGACGGGCCCATGTGGCTTGAGGAAGCTGTGGCAGTTTTCATTCAATCCTACGACAGTTGCTGCGTCAAGGGATCACACACGCAGTGCAGCGCCAGTTCTCCCAACTAGAACTCCATTCCTTTGCCTCGGCCTGAAGAGCGGACAGTTGCCGCCGTCGTTGAAAGAAAAGTATACCAAAACTTTTTCGGCTAGCTCGTCCGAAAAAGTCCTCGTCTTGGAAATGAGGATCATGTCAAGTCTTTCTGGGGTCGACGCCACGATGCGGAGAAGACGCCCAGGGTCTGGTAGAGGGCGTCCCGGAGCCGGGAGAACCCAGGAACAAATCTTCACGAGATCTACAAACTTGCCACTGCATCCTGTTCCTCTGAACCGATCAATCACGCTGCTTGTTTTTCAAATTCTTAAGAGATTCGTTGAAATGTCACAGGGTCATCATCTCTGAAGCACAAATGAACCATGAGCTTCGAGTCTGTTTTTGCCAGCATTGAGAAACATTGTGGCTTTGCGTCTCAGACATGAAGCAGAGCAGTTTGTGAAACTCGGCGGCGGACAGCGCCCTGGTGCCCTCTAACTGGCTTCCCTCCCGTCGGCACCGCCGACCTCGGATGAACTCCTCGTGGAATCTGGAACTCATAGTAGCGTGTCTCGGCGATCTGACACCAATCGCAAAGCGTTGAGGCCTGGTGTTGCTGCTTTCAAGAAACGAAGGTGTGTGGCAATTTTGCAGGTGGCCCGGCGGCATCAGTGGACCCTTGACGCTCCAGCAGTTGTGCGCGGATGGCCTGAAGACTTCGGACGAAATGTCACCTGATCCTGAAGCACTTCAACCCGTCCTGATTTTGACGGAAAACGGCGACACAGTAGGCATCTTGGCAAGAGCGAGGGCAAGCCTTTCGAAATTCTCGTTGGTAGTGTGAGACTAGAGCGACCGTAATGGGCCAACCGCCTCTTCTCCCTAGGCCAATTTACGCGTCTAAGCAATTGACTGTCTTCAAAGAACAATGAGCATCAAGTTGATTTCGCCTATTGAATTTTGTGGAGTCTGGTTAAATAATTGTTGATGATATACAAAGAGATTGTGCAGTACTGCCATATGGACTTTAAATACAGAGAAGCAAGACTCTTATGGACCCGATTTTCCTATTGCACTGCCGATGAAGACCACCTCGATTGCAGCGAATCTGAGATATGTCAGTCCCAGACGTTCCGTAGACAAGATAAATTCTGACTTACGTTGCAGTTGCGCCGAAGATTTCCACACTCTTTGCGTTGCTAAACACTGCCAGAAGCACAGCGAACACAGCCGTGAACAACATCGTCAGGCCAATCCGCTGGTTTGTTGAGTTCACCGTGTTGAGTACAAATATCGTCAGGACGGGAAGTGCCGAGGACACAACCAACGCCACGACGTTGCTTGCCCGGCTGAGCTTCGAGTCCGAGTAGGACACCAAGCTGGCCTCCTCGTCGATGACAGTGCCGACTTTCATCTTCTCCCCGACGACGCGGTGGAAGATCCGCGCGATAACCCGGGCCATGAACCTGCTGAACACGGAGCTCTCGTCTTGGGCCGACTGCAGTGAAACGTACGCCGCTGTTTTCTTGTTCCGCCAGGTGAGGAACTCGAAGCCTTGGAGGAAGCTGTGTCCGCCTCTGCTGTCGACCAACCAGTCCTGCAACGTTTGCAACTGGGACTTCGGAGGAGATTTCAGTCTTGAGAGCTCAGTAACTGTTTACCATGAAAAACGATCAGCTCATCGTCCTCGACTTTATTGAGTGGTCAGGTGTGCGGCAGTGGTATGGGACCGTGCCTTGGAGCAGCAGACTGTCTGAAAAGAATTTTAGCAAGAAGTCAGCCAACCTATACCTTCGCCTCCAGTTCTCACATACTATATCTCCCCATTCTGTCTCTGAGTTTCTCAAACAAATGACTTTGTAGATGGGACGATGGATCGGCAGATCGCTCAGCTTTTGTCTCTTGAGAACGTATGTTGCTGCTCCTTTCCCCATCTGAATCGATTCGCTCATTCCAATGCTGGGACCTCCGAAGTGCATGGAAGCTTCTGGAGTACGTGAGGCCAGCTACATCATCGTGCTGGCAACTGGCTTCGAAGCGAAATTGCAGCTCAACAATCTCAGCCTGAAGGGCCATGAGCTGCAGTAGGTTGATCTCGTCGAAGCGTCTGAAGATTGCCAGGTTTCTTTCTCTGCTCATGATTCTAGCGAGTCGGTGATAGTGCTGCGGCGTATACTCATCTTCCGTAACTTGATTCTGGTCTAGGGGCTGCATCCTTCCAAGATGGATCCCGGTCGTCGTAGGTATAGCACCAGCAATGCCTTCCATCCAGCTCTGCGATTTTCTTCTTTAATATTTCACTTACAGTACAAGTGACTTGTCTCGTGTAATTAGGAATGAAACATGTGGGATAATCTACCAAGTAGTCCTTGTTAGCTGTGGCGGGGTTTATCATGCAGTTTTTACTGCAGGCAATCATGTCCTCTGGCATGTGAATTCACTCTTTCTTTCCTGGTGTTTTGGAGGGGACCAGGGCGTATTACCTGCCTTACACATTGGCATTGCGTTATTGATAGCCACGGCTTGACTAGATTCAGCCGTACGCGCTACGAGTCACAAGATAGATAACACCTCGACTAGCTTTCACCTGGTATTGGTGTGAATGAACTAAGAATCCCGATGTGGCTTCTTAGATGCATAGACCGGTCTTGCGCTATTCTCAGCTACGAATGAGGATGATGAGCTTCAAGATCACGGGCCCAAGCGGCTGAAAACAAAGAGCTTGACAATGAACAGATATCAGTGCCTCACGGAAGTAACTCATCGCACCTGGGCACACTGCTTCACTCTCACCAGTGCTTTTCAGCCATCAAACACACAGCAATCATAGATCGTTCTCTTAGCCCACATTATGGATCCCCTTAGCATTGTCGCTGTCGTGGGAGTTCTCTTTAGCAACTCGGCGTCCGCATTGCTCGTTGTCCAAAATTTTGTTCGCAGTGCAGAAACGGTAGAGCGACTGCAGCGCGAATTTGTGGTCCTGCGCCATATTCTGAAGGACTGTCGTGAGATGATTACGGAGAACACGACTATTCCAAAGTCAATAGACTGCTGTCTCGAGATGTGCTTGCAAAAGTACCGCGAACTACTGAACATACTGGAGAACCTGCTTGCGAAACCAAAATATTATCGGCGACTTTTGTACACTTTCATGGAGCACGAGTTGCTCACGACTTATAATGGCTTTCGAGATTCCGTCTTGCTCCTCCGGGACCTGTCTTCGGAGTGCGTGATTGCTTGCCCCAAGTATCTTCCATAAGACGTAGGCAAGAAGTCTTCAGCACTGACATTGTTTCACAACCAGCATGAAAATGAATAGACATTTCGTGCAAATCAGGTAAGATCCCAGATCCATCCTCTCAAATTGACCATCGTAATTGACTGGAGTCATGAAGTGTCGCAATGGCGAAGATCATGGAAGAGGGGGCAGAAGATGAGGATGAAGATGAGGAGGATGACGAGCTCAAGAACAGAGACGACACAGCTCATCCATCTGAAGACCTGCCGGAAGGAATACAACATCAACCCTCGAAAGCGCCAGCATCAGAACGACCGAAGTACCGAAGAAGGGGCCGCAAGTTCCTTGCGGAATTCGCGAATTTGTTGGCGTCAGACTTTACTAGAAGTCTCATCCTGGTTATCGAGGTAGAGGACGTGGATGATCACATGAGATTCAAGATGATACCCGTCAGGAACAAGATTGACACAGGCAGCGATGAGAATTTTGTGAGCAAGGAATTGATTGCCAAGCATGGCATGGACCCAAATAAGATACGGGACTTACCAGTCGAAGAGCAGCAGGAGCGGACGCTTGAGATGTTGAACAATCTCACATTCACCCCTAAGCAGGAGGTCACAATTTCTTGGCATAAGCCACGAGACAAAAAGCAACGACAGACCACATTCCTCATTGTGGACAGCGGATTATTCGATGTCCTCATAGGCTCAAAGCATTGGGCTGACGAAGCGAGGCAATCTGTGCTGTTCGGCTTTGGGCGCCATAGGACGGAAGGTAACAATTCGGATCGTCAATCCCGGTATGACCCAGTAACTCGATTGCAGTAAGGCTGACTCATACAAGCTGAACGCAGACAAGAGGAGCTTGACGATCAGAATGCCGAGAAGGAGGCAAAGCAGAACATCAAAAAGCAATTGCAGGAGACTGACGACCTGCTCCCACGGGTTGGCTCGGGGAAAAAGGCTGGAGAACCAAGTGAACAGACGAGAAGAGAAATGAGGCGATCCCGGCAACACACTTCGGCATGATTTTAGTAGTTCTCCACCTAACGACTCTCCATTAATGCATGTATGCCATTTCGCCTCGGATACCAATGCTTTGGCTGTTCAATGTTAGAAGCGACACCTGCATGATGAGAGCCACCCACCTAGGTATCCCAAGGCGCCGACGCGAGAATTTACGACGAGCTCAAATACTCACTTTTCAGCCACACTTGACATGCATTCAAAATATCTACCAAAGTTCCTTCTCAAGGCTGACTGTTGCGTGACCCATCCATAGGTTGGTCACGGATTTGTCGGCGATCCGAAAGATGTGGTGACCACTCAGAGGATTCATATCCTCAGCGGAAAAGCTAGCAGGGTGTACAATCTCGTGTCCTGTGGTATATAAACTCTCTATCTTATTATTTCCTTGGCATGCAAGTTCAAGTCATCAAGCAAGCTGTCAGGGCCGGGAGGTACAAGTCCACGACTGGCAGATCTGTCCGCTTTACTGTACAGCACGTTTGTTATGTTCATCACAATTTCGGTTCTGACTAAGTGATTATGCCTCTGTATTTGCCAGAATATTTGCGAGACGATAGAATTACACTCATCAACAGCATATTCACACATATGATTCAACCCAGCAGCCTGCGCCAAACCCGTAAGCACCCTACACGGAAGCCATCCTGAAGACTTTCCACGTCACCATATTCCTCGCGAGACATACACCGACCATGTCTATGATTTGTTAGGATCCATGAGTGCTTTCAGCAGCACAAGGAGACAAGGAGGCGACAAGACTTACGTGCCGGATCATCTTGGCATATGTGCTTACGATGGCGAGTATTCTCACTCGACATCGAGGAAGGCATGGTCAGCTGATGGTGGCGGGGATGTGTTCCCTCCCCCCGAGGGCAGGACCTGCGCGATGGGGCTTGGGAGAGCGACGGCAAGCATGGCATTGCTGATGACAGCGAGTGCCAGCACGACCTTGGAGACAAATTGCATTCTGAGAGACTGTGAGAGATAGTTGACGTGAACAAGTGTCGATGCTCGGATGATGTTATGGCGTGTAGATTCTGGCTGATACGGTGCCTGGGCAGGTAAGATGAGGCAATTGTGAGTGAGAGATGATGAGGCTTGATGCTGCTTGCCATCTTTCGAATTTTGGAGTGTCCAGGGGCCGACACTTATACTTGAAGAACGTCGGCACCAAAATCCCCAACATCGACTGCGATACACCGTGATGTAGTCTTGGAGTCGTGAGTGAATTGAGATGCTCGCCCCCCAAGCGAACCGTTGGCGAAGTACATGCTGCCACCCGAGACACAACGGTCTGCGGGTTTGCCTGTCAAAGCCAAATCGGCCCAATCGGTTTGTCCCTGTCTGCACCCATCCGTCCCTCCTTGTGGTCCCATGCCACTAGATCAGGGTGCACAATCGCCGTGCTCACCTCGAATTGGCCTGGATCACAGTCTCGGCGCGCTTGATGATATTGAACACCTCAAAGTCATTATCGGCTGGCTACCTGCGCTGATCGAGGGTGCTTGGTCTTTTGGGTAAGGGTGATTTCGCCCTGTTGGAGTGTGGTGCTTGTTATAGACCTCGTATGCTTCACCCTCGCCCTTTGGGAGCTGCATGCAGGGAAGCGCATTCTCCTGTGAGGATCGAGATGGCCAATCCAAGGCCTCTATGAGTTCACTCGCGAGAAGAATACAGAGGCCAATGTTATTGTACCTTCAACGGAAGATCCCTGATCATCTAAGACCCTACAGGTGTCAAAGAGTCAGTGTAACCTGTCACAATAACGTCTGGCCACAACCCTCGATGAGATCCGGGTTGCCTCCGAGACCGCGTCCATTTGACTGGCTCCGTGAGAGCAACGACTTCATATCCAATAAAATATCGATGAGTCGTTTCCGGATGCTCACGTACGTATTGGCGAGGAGATTACGCGGATATCACTGCATTCTAATCCACTGCTGAGGGCGCTCAGTGCGGACATTTGCCCCTCCTCGGGTGCCGTTCACAAAATACGAACCACTGGCATAGCACAATCACAGCTTCAAATCGAAGCCGAATGGTCCAGATACTTCCCAGAGACCCGAGATCCGTGGGTCGAGGCGAGATGACGAGATTTGCGCCACAGCGGGTGTGTGATATCGCTAAATCCGGCTATCAAGCCAACCGTCGGGTCGCACGCGGCTCAGCGGGATCTGCACCGAGTCCACTCGACGAGCAAACCGAGTGATTATTTTGGTATGAGGCATAGGACAACTCTCTGCGAAGTTGAACTCGCCCTGTATGTGGCAGCTCGCTCCTAAAACTGCCGTGGCGGGTCTCCATTGGCCTTGTGAAGTAATAATTTGCCTGTCGGCCGAGTGTTGAGTCGGACAAGAGGTGATGTTTGAAGTCTTGGGGAAGACGAGACCATCGCCTTCATCGATATGAGCAAACAATTACATGGATCTACACTACAGTATTATTATGAATCAAAACTCCACTTGACAGTTGCCAAGGGGCCACCGAGTTGTTATACCAGTCAATATCCTTTCCTCCAGATGTCGTGCGTGCGTATGTGTAACCTGTACTTGGCTATACATTCGAGGACAAAATCGTCACCACTACCTAGGTAGGGTGGTAATTCAACTTTCTGAACATCAGGGAATCATTTGCTGACGATGTTTTGTGTGCTTTCTGAGAAGCCAATCGTGATTGTTCAACGACCTTGCCCTCCTGAGCTTAAGGAACCCGAAGGGAATTCAGCTAGGCCTCGAGCATCGATCTCAAAAAGGCACTGGACCTACTGTTCGGCTTCATTATTGACCTAGCTCTCATATTTATACTACCTCAAGGTCACGCGTGCCCTAACATCACCCGTCTCAACCCCCAAGGGCGACTTTCCCCAAGCCTACATCCTCGCCTCAAACCGTCACCTGTGTAACGTCCGAGGGCTGTCGGCTTGGTGGCGGGCACCTGAGCGGTATAAGCTTGGGGCTTGACATCCTCTCCTCGATGCCATGCCATCATCTCCATTCGGCACATTCAAGCGAGCCAGCCAGCCTCTCATAATGTCAAAGGTGTCCCGGCAGCACCATTTTGTTATGTCGACGAGATCTAGACCTCCAGTGCGGCTGTACCACGCCATGTCAGTGACATGCCGCCGTCCAACCAGGGGTTCGTGGGCCGGAGGCCGCACGGAAACCGAGCCTTACAGGGCGACCCTCCCGTGATCCCGACCCTCCCGCAGTGTCACAGTGTACAGACGCATCACATCCTCCCAAGGGGGTTACCTCCTTCAAGGCTGCCTTCCTGCCTGCGAAGACGGCATAGGAAGATAGGATCCAACCGACCCGGCCGTAAAGACAGCGACGGCCACGACCCTCACAGCCCACTCATCGCGTCCGAAGCAGTCGGTCAGGCCGACCATTTCTTCCGTCCGTACTGGCTCCAAGAGTCGTTCCCCGCCACAGGGTACCTCCCGTGGCCCGTTCAAAACCACCGAGGCCCAAGATCCTCGACTCAAAAGATCCAAGACCAGTGTCCCTACACCCCCTTACCCTACCCCATGCCATCACGGCCCAGCCTATGCCGGGCAAGGTAAGCAGAGAGGATGCCCAGATGTGTCGTGTCCAGAACAGTTTCCTCCCCCACCCCCCACCCCCTCTCTCAAACCGTGAAGTCGTACCCGATCGCCCACGCACCAACAGTCGAACTCAGCTCGCGGCGGCCGCAACATACCGCGTGCTGTCAAGGGAAACATTTACCGAATCCAGTACTGCGGTGGGCGTTGGCCTCGAGGATCGTGTGACGGCTCTCAGCTGCGAGATAGACGTGAGACAGTGAGTACAAGACAGTTTTGGGTGACCGAGCTATTGACGTTGGTAGACACGGTGGGCAGTGTCAGTGGGTTAAAGCTGCCTGCGACTTCTGCTCGAGATCGGGATCAGGAAATTTGATTGGGAATATCCACCACGCCAACAATCACCTTCCGCCGTGTGGATGAAGATAGAATTGTCTGAAAGAAATAAAAAGGTATGTCTATCCATCAATTACCTGTCTCGAACATTCCAAGGTGTTCCCTCGGCACAGGTTGACGACTGATACATTCGGGTGATAAGATGGACGCATCTTTGGTGGCCTGTAGCAATAGATTCTCGCACAACACCTGGCACTCACTCAAGACAGACGCAATTTCTCCCACCCATCCTGCCCATGTATGTGCGCTTCCCTGCCGCTTCCTCGCAACCTGACAAGCGAGCGGCCAGCCTGTTCCCGCTCAGTCTGGGTTATTGGTCCCCGATCTAACGTCCCTTGCTCCCGATTCCCAAAACCAGCCGCCCAGACAAGTAATAAATGTAGATGCATCAGGGTTGCCTTGTCTTGGGACAAACCCCGTTTTCAGGTGTGGTGGAATACTCCGTATCCACGCCTCCACCCAGTCTCCAAAATAGTGGTATCACAAAGCTAATCATAGTGACGAAAAAGGGTAGGTAGTCTCGAGGGGATCGTCGTCGTTTGTCCGGGGCTCAGGATGCGAGACGTGCCAGAGGCATACCGAAAGAAGTGCCGAAAGACTGGCCAAGGAGGGGACGGCGTAGGAAGCGGCAACGGGTGCCCGGGAGAGATGTGCCACGTCCTGTTCGTGGCCCCAAATATGTTGCATTCCTTGCGCCAATGTGAAACGCCGAAGGTTCGTCGCGTGGTTGATTGACCGGTGACATGAGAGCAATTTACCAAACGCCGAAAGATGCCAATGGAAGAGTAGAGTACAGGCAATAATCGTTCGTCGTAAATGGGGAACGTCATCACGCGTTGGTGACCTATGCAATCGTTAGCATCAGTTGAAGAGACCTGCGAGTCGTAGGAACTTACCCGGAGGATTCGTCGCGAGTAATCTTGGTTGTCGGCGATGCTGCCACTGCTCATCCTGCGTTGAGCCATGACTGGGTCCAGTCGGGTGTCTGTCTCCATGGAGTAACCACCACTGCTGCCGGGTGGCTTTCCGCCCATAAAGGCATTGACAGCTGCGTTGCGACGGTGCTCCTCCTCGATCTCACGGTTTCTCTTCTGTCGCATCCAGAACCAGAGCCCACCAAACGCTGCGCCGAGAACCACGACGCCAACCACGACGCCAGCAATGATTCCACCCATAGGTGTGCCGCCCTTGCCGTCTTCTGGACCGCCCGTCGGAGTGGAAGTCACATATACGACACTGGTCTGACCGCCTGACACGACGGTGGATGAGGCGACCACGCTTGGGGTGGCAGAGCCGGAAGCAGAGGACGTGTCATTCTCGGGGGCGTATGAGACCGACAGCATGACACCAGTGTTGTAAACTGTGTAAAAGTCGATGCCACCACATGCTTGAACGCCGTAGCCGGGACATGGCACGTCACACTTGGAGTCGTCCACCAGTGAGTTTTTCGGTGGGTATTCGTTGCCGCAGTAGCACTGGTTTCCGCCACTCGTCGCCGCAACTTTGAAGCCACCGGCATAGCAGAGGTCGACAGCACATGCGCTCTTGGTGTTAAAATCTGGTGTCGAATTGAAAATAAGGTTTCCCCATGAGTTGAAGCAGCCTTGGACGACCTGGGCTCCGAGCGTCGGTGCCGCTGATGGCTCTTCTAGGTTTGCCGATGTTGCGGTGGCTGCATATGCCGGCAACACGGTAGCAATTGCCGCTGCGAGAAGTGTTGTTGTCTTCATTTTGTGTGATTTGGATTGATGGTGAAAGAAATTCGGTCTTGTTTGGCGAGGTCGAAAAACCTGGGACCGGAAGTAAAACGGGACCGAAGGCGATTGAAAGAAATTTGACGGCTTGTTGCAAATTTGTTTTCCGGCCTTCCGATCACGACGGGTTCGTCGGCAGGAAGGACGACTTCTATGGTCGATTCAACGGTCGGCCTGACAGCGAGCGAGTCTTTGTCGACTCGACTAGATGGCCACGAGGTCTTCGTCGATTCCGCGGGTGGCGGGCGAGTGAGAATAGACTGTCGTCGAACAAAGGCTGGGAACAATCGAGGGCGAGATCCCACACTCTTGTTTCCTTTGTGAGCCCTTTTCGTTCACACTATCCCACTTCCTGATTTTAGTATCCTGCAGTCTCCCTTTTGGTTTTAGAGCGGAGATGACATTGATGAGTCCCTGGCGGAATAGGCCCTTTCTTAGCAGTTCTTGGTGAAAGGGATAGACCGTTGGAGAGCGAGGGATGAGCCGCGTTGCTGGTCGACGAGTGAGGCAGGCCTGTTGTGGAATCCGGAAGGAAATAGAACCTCGAGGTCGCAGGTAGGGGGGGAAGGCAAGAAAGGGAGGTCCGCCTGAACTGGTCGGTGTCCGTATTGGTACAGTACCAGGAGTATGGTAGGAGGGAAAAGACAAGGCCTGGACCTGAAACTAGGAAACAAAACACAGAAAGCGCACTGGAGCGAGAAACGAGTGACTCTGGCGGAACTGGACTTGACGTGTTGCCGACTCGAGTGTCACAGCGCTTTGCGGATATTCTCCTTCACGGGTAGCGCTGCAGGGCGACCGTGGAGGGAATGATTGACTGTGTGTGTACTGAATGAGTGGGTTGGGAATGACGAGATGGAAGTTGGATCAAAAGAGACAAAAAAAAACGAGTGATGAAAATGGACGGACAGAGTGGGAAGGAAGGGAATGGCGGTGGGCGCGGCAGAAGCACGAGCACGAGCTGGCTGGGTTCCAAGGTTGGGCTTGGGCGGGTGTGGGCGTGTGTTAGGGAGGAAAGAAGGAGAGACAGGGACAGGATGGTGAGACTTGCCTTGTCTCCTCTCCTGCCCAGATTCCCTCTTTTGCCAGTCTCCTGCCACGCCGTCCCTTCCTGTTGCCGACTGCCCCCTGCCGTCCCAAGATGTGCTAACGAGCCACTAGGAGGACAAAGGGGAGATTACGATGGGACCACCCTGGCTGATCCGGTGTACGTACCGAAACGGTGGGCTTTGACTGGCTCGCTCCGCCCTGTCGTGTGTGCCAGAGACTGACCAGACCAGGCAGGCTGCGCAGGCTGGCCGGGCACGGAGTGCAGAGGTTCTGAGGTCACCGTCCGGTCTCTCGCTACCTGCTCGTTGCCCATTCTCCTGCGTTCTCTCTCGCTCTTTCGTTCCTGATAGAGTGGGTAACCACCGTTTGGCAGTCTGGCCATCCTTGCCACAACATCCCAACCGCACAACTTTGAGTGCAGCGGAGTGGAGATGGGGTACCGCCCTGGCCAATGGGACAAGCAGGCACAATTTTAGCTCCAGGGGCAACAGGTGGTCATTGGTCAGCATTGGAAACGCGCCCGGCCAGAGCTTGCCCGGTTCGGGTAAGTTTTGGACGTGAACGTTTTCCCCCTCGGTCCTGCTGCACATTTCCAGGACATTGCACAATCCCCAGTCCGTCACAAGCTTCCGCTCAATTGACACTGACAGTGGCGCTCGCCCCCTTTTCGCATCCCGTCTAACAGACTCGGGCCAGGTGCTATGTCCTTTGGTGTCGGCGAGTCCAGTCTGAGCGATAGGAAGCGTTAGCATGCCGTGCCGCCCGTTGGCTGAAGGCCTATTGCTGGATAACGGGAGCGCCAGGCCAGGCCGGCTGGCTGTACCACGCTCCCCGTAGCTCTGCGGTACCGTCCCCCAAGATTTGGCTTCATCAAACCCTGACCACGTCCAAGAATTGCTCCCCAAGATTGGTGACACGACCCTCCTACCCTCTCGCTTGGTGTGGAGTGACCTGACGCGTTGTGCAGTGCATAGAGTTTTGTCTATTGTCTACGACGGTGCATATTCCCCACCTCGACTTGACTCTGCCGCTGGATGGCTGGCACCTGCATTCCGAGAGGCGGCTAGAAAGAGGCCAAGCGAGACCGGCCTGCCTCCGTCTCTGGCGCCGGTCCCGACGGTAGTGGGCTCTAGCAAGAGTCGGCAGAGTCAACATGTGCTAGTCGCCATAGCGTTCCCGTTTCTAACTCCGCAACATGTGTGATGATCTGTTTCGTGATAACTATCCGTGAGACGCGCCTGCCACCCTCAGACTCAATTAATTAGCTCGACGTTGCTCAGCTTCCGGTCGTCGTTGGACAACGTGCTGCGCTTGTATTACGCTATGTATCTACCTAGGTATCTACCGGACCGGTAGTCTGCGAGACGAAAGGGGTGGCTGCCGTCTTGACTTCTACTACGGTAACTGCTGCTGCTCAGCTTATCTCGCCGTAACCCCTCCATGGCGCGAGCCTCCGTCTGTCCGCCTGCCATCTCGTTTCACCAAACCGATGGATCGGGAATGGCTGTCGTCGTTCAAACTGTCACGGTCACCCATATGTTTCGTTTCCCCTATATGATCGACTGATCAGCTCACCACCACAACGATCGCCGTGCCTGCTGCTCAGACACTCTCGTGACCAAATTTGGCAACGACGGCATTGCAATGGGAGCATCGCCGTCGTCATCGGCCAAAAAAAACCCAAAGGGTACGTCGCATGCCGTGGTCGCAGCCTCGTTTGAGCTTTCCAAGATCGATGGGGGGTCCCGGTCCATGTCCTGGCCCCGGCAAGCTAGGGGAGCAGGGGGAGCGGAGGAGGGGGAGGTAATTCACGCCCGCGCCGATACGAGGCACACAAGCGACTTGCAGTCGACACACGTGCAGTAGTTGGCAGCCGATGCCGTGCTGACTGTACAGATGGCGCTTGATGGCGTGTTGGTGTGCGTGCGTGTTGGGAGCCCGGGTGATGACTGGCTGCAAAATCCCACCACCGATATCAATCCTGCTGCGAACACGACATCTCGTACCGACCACACGGATAATAGCGACCGGAACATTGATTGCATCTGGACAAAAATCCTTCGTTCTGGGCCCTCGATGAGGCTCAGAACCCCAACTCTACCAGGCATGGGTTTGAAGCGTGAAGGCATAAATCAGCGCAATATCGCTTCGAGACCACATTGGACACAGCCACAAACTTGCGAGCCACGTCATTTCTTAACCCCGAAGCACTGGACGGAACAATTACCTGGTGTCCGATACAGTGCGTGCTCAGTGGGAAACCCCCCTATTTGAGACCAAGCCTGCAATACGGTCATCCAACCATGTTGTTCTCACTGTGTTGTGTCCGCGGGTGAACAAAAGAGGAAAAAAAGGACTCGCGGCCTGCTCTCCAATGTCCCCCGAAATACAAAGCTGCAGCAGCCATACGGATCGCGGATCGCGGATCACGGCCGTGGCCGGGCCTCCTGTCATGGGCGGCCTGCACCAGCCCGGCCAGCGATTTTACTGCCGCAGACCACGGCCTGCCAGCCTGGAAGGAACAAATCCACTGGTGGCCCTTGGGCCCGGGTCACTGCATCTGCGACCTTGAAGGGCGACCAACGCGGCCTCGCGGGGTCCAGCACTAGGCCCAACCTTCTTTTGTTTTTCTCCGCGAGGGCAAAGGTGCAGTTCGTCAACAAGGTTTGATGAACAATCCCATCCAGCATAGCTCAACACGGGGACGACTGGCGGTTCCTGGATGTGTTGAGCTTAATCGTGTGCTTCTTTCAACGGCTGGCTCGGGAACCAGGACCACCTTCGCTCAGCATGGCACGTAAGCAACCCTGCACGGCCATTTGCTGTTCGTGAATCAGTGAATGGCACGCTTTTTTTTTCTTCTCCCGTCAATAGTCTGCATTTCTTGTGGGTACCTGTCCCCGTGTTCGGCTACCGGGCGGCCGGGAGGATGGATATCTCGCAGCCCTACTGCATGGCCAGTACAGTGCCGCAGCCGTACGAAATACGCAGGTGCGGTATCTGTGCCCCTGGGAAACGGCCATATTCCTGTGCCAATTTGGCCTCAGCCCACGCGGCGCACAATGTCACCGGTCCAACTGTGCACGGTTGGCATTGCTTTTTATATCCTGACCAAATTTCAGAACAACAACAAAAGAACAAGGGCAAAAAGAAAATCAAGTAACAAGCTTCCGAGGTTCTCCTGAGAATATTGAGAGAATCGATGGTATCACCGAGGTGACTGTGGCTGGCCTACAAGGGCACAGTCTGGAATTTGGTGTGCCACTGCACTCTACCCCCGGCGGGCCTGATTGTGGACGGAACAGCTCAGGCTGTGGTGCGGTCTGGTTGTGCAACGAATTCCGACAGCTCACTCTCACCAGCGTCATGCAACTCTTTCTCCTCATCGTCAAGTGACTTGGCAACTGCAGAAGCGAGCCTGCAGCAGATGGCCAGATCTTCACAAGTCCCGCCTCCTTCAGTGCTCCAACCACCCTGCCGCCCAAGCGAAGCCTCCACTTGCCGCGAGATCGTGGGTCCACCCACACGCTGTCCACGACTCCAGGCGGTGTCCCGGGCCTTGGCAATCGCGGGGGAGACGGAGATTTGGCCTCGTGTTGGTCGGGCGAGTCGGGGCGGATTCCATCTCCTTTGTGTTCATTCTTAGAGTTTGTCGGAGAATTCAAAAGGCTCCCACGTCGTTCCCGGTCGGCCAGCAATTGTCGCGATGTGACGGCCGGAGAGAGGGCTCGGTCAACCTCTCAGGGAAGTTCGGCAAAAAAAAAAAAACGGTCGGGCGTTTTGGCAGCCCCATGACGATCGCTCTCGGTAAATCCTCGTGGTTGGTGATGAAATGTCAACATGAAACCTTGCAGTGGGGGGGGGGGCACTTGAACCACCCAGGCCATCGCGATCCACACTGAGCAGTCAGCTGCGCAGTGGGCACAAGCCAAGTTGGCCAAGTCAGTTTGTTGCTGGAGGCCGCCGGATTTCACTTCTTAGGACAGAGAGGGATTCCGCTGCCATGCAATATCATGATTCAAGGCGTCTAGAGCTTCCAAGTTGGCAAAAGTCGAGTCCGTATAAGCTTATCTGCATTAGGGAATCGGGAAGCAACTGTCAACTTGTGTGTTCTGGAATCCTTCAGGGCCAGGCCGGGGTTGAGTGCCAGGATGACAACCCCCCTTCACTCCGTTCTCCTTCCCCCCAGCTCCAAGACCTGAATGACAACCGCGGTAGGGTTCGGGGCAGTGACCCGCTGGTAGCCGCGCCCAGCCAGACGTCATCGTGAATCCACGAGCAACCTCGAAGAGCGCCTACATGTAGACCAGAGCTTAGAGTCCCAATTCCTCCTGTCTTGCCCTCCCACCGAAGGCCCACACGCCATTGGCATCCCCAGCAGACAAAAAACCGCCTCCATGCCTCCCCGCCCGAGAGCCATCCTCGCGCAGAGGCCGTTCCAGGCCCTCGCCGCCCGCAGGTGCTACTCCACCGCAAACGAGGCACCCCTGATCCGCGTCACCAACGTGCCCGCGCCCAACACGGGCCACATCCGGGTCCTCGAGCTGAACCGGCCGTCGGCGCGGAACGCCATATCCAGGGCCCTGCTGGCGTCCCTGCGCGGCGAGATAGACGACGTCCACTCGCAGTATGACGCGGCGACGGGGGAGGAGCTGGCCGCGAAGAGCTGGAACAAGAGGTTCGGGGGCGCGGCGGGCCAGGACGACAAGGGCCCCACGAGGGCCCTGATCCTTGCCAGCGCGGTGGACAGCTCCTTCTGCGCGGGCGCGGACCTGAAGGAGAGGAGGGGCTTCACGCCCGAGGAGTACGTGTTCCCACGAGGCTTGCCGTCTGGATCCCCTGGGGGCGCAGCCTTACGAGGCTGGGAGAGCTCCACCAAGTCGTGTGCTCATGTGTAGATGCTGTTAGCTGACAGACCTTTCCCCATCTTCCAGGACAGCCGCCTTCCTAGCCCTCCTCCGCTCGACTTTCACCAACATCTCCACTCTGCCTGTCCCGACCATCTCGGCAATCAGCTCTCTCGCCCTCGGTGGCGGGCTGGAGCTCGCCCTGTCCACGCACTTCCGCGTCCTGTCCTCCAACGCCGTGATCGGTCTGCCCGAGACGAGGCTAGGCATCATCCCCGGCGCCGGGGGCACACACCGTCTGCCCTCCCTGATAGGCATCGGGCGTGCGAGAGACCTGATCCTCACAGGCAGGCGGGTGTCCGCGCCAGAGGCCTACTTCCTGGGCATCGCGGACCGGCTGGTCGAGGTCGTGCCGGAGAGCGAGGAGGACGTGGAGAAGCTGAAGAACGGGGACAAGGCGGCCGCGGACCAGATTCTCTCGTCGGCGAGACGGGATGTGCTGAGTGAGGCTGTCAGGCTAGCCACGGAGATCAGCGAGGGCGGACCGGTCGCGACGAGGGCGGCGTTGCAGGCAGTGCAGAGGCCGCACGAGGAGGTGGAGAACGCGATGTACGACAGGGTCGTCAGGACGGAGGATAGGGATGAGGCGCTGAAAGCGTTTGCCGAGAAGAGGAAACCAGTGTTCAAGGGGAGGTGATGGTCCCCCGAGACAGAGATTGACTTGACGCGGACAGGATACTATGAGGTGTGACCCTCTGCGAAGGAGTCATGAGATATCTGGGGCCTGCATACTACAGCTCAGATGAGTCTCTGGACTGTACATATCGATCTGGATTCTCAGCCCAAAGCCGCGGCCTGAGAAATGGCCTTGATTGATAGTCATATGGCCCTTGGGGATAAATGTAGCTCGCTTCTGATCCCGGGGTTTGGGCTGTCATAAAGTCAATGATGCTGTGAAAGTCGAGCAGAGAATTCAAAATATGAAGAGCTATCACATCGAGGAATAGATCCGTGGTTCCGGGGTGAGAGAGCCTGCCCTGCTCTCACACATGTGTGTCCTGTCTCTTTTCCGCTTCCAACCTCCAGTCATGCCATCGATCTCTCTGGTAAGACATTGACGTTGAACAGTCTAAGCGAAAGGACGTTGCTGCACGTTCCCCAGGAAGATGCTTTGTGCGGTCGTGTGGACGCTGTAACTTGTTTATGCCAAACATTGGCGTCATGTCTATTCGTCAACTATCTTGAATCACCTAGAATTGATACAGATCACTTCCGCAGTTTCTTTGTGCTCTTCCTCATTCACTCACAAGTGCCTTGAGAGATCCGTTGCAGAATTCTAAAATCTTTCTTTTCTTTTCTCTTTTTGGCCGGTACATATACTTATCTGTGCTGTTAACAACCATATCATATACATGGTATTTTGAGCTCAGTGTCCACGAAAGCCTAAGTCTTTGTGCTTAAGGCTCGCGATAATCTTGACTTTGAGAATTCCCAAGGTAATGAAGGGTCTCCTTCCTTTTAATTTCCAAAGAGGCAACCAGCTGATTTTTCTGGGTCCGTGGGAGGTTCTTGCCTACCAGGGACGCGTGATGATCACGTCGTTCAGAGCCGAGATTGTCGCATTACGATCGCCACCCAGTATCAGACTTCGCACCAGCAGATCATCACCTGGAACCGATGTTGTCAGACGAGCCTAGGAGTGCGTCCGTTCAATTCGAACCTGCAAACTCCTCCATTTGGCCTGCCTTTCAGGAGGTGGAACAATGGCACGTCCACTGGGGCTTCCAAGACCCTCCTGACCGGATCAGCACGGGCAGATCGCCTGGCTCGTCGGAGCCACCACAGCTCACCTACCACAGTCTACGCGGTGGCTTTGAAGATCGGTTTGAACCACGCGCGCTCGTCGTGATCCCTTCTCAGGGCCGGGCCCGATTCCAAGCGCGGTGGCGGAAACATCAAACATCAAGACCAGACACTCCACTGTCACAGCGACATGCGGAGACGTATGCCCTGCGCCAGAGCAGAATGGAAGGTTGCTTTGACGATATCGTAATCGATGCCCGGCCGTGGCGATTGTTGGCTCCTGCGTCTCCGTTCAGTGAATCTCGAAGTTCCCTCTTCCCATCCCATAATCGACAGGCAGAAAGGCGCCTATCTGCGGGTCTCACGCGAAAGGAAGCCTCGATGATCTTGCGCAATGGCTGTTGGATGGAGTCCAGAGTTTTCCCTCGTCTCCAGCGTCTTTGCGTGCCGGCCGCAATGCCATTTGGCCCATGAGTAGGCTGTTGTGGCGCTCCCAACCATACTTGAGCTAGTATGGTAAATGGAACGGCGCTTCATTTATGAAGATGGTATAGCAATGATACTGTTCCCTTGCCATCCTCTCTCGTGACGGCTGCTGCAAATACCGTTTCCTGAGCCTTGACCTTGGCCCTGGCTTGCTGCTTCTGAAAGAGGTGCATGGTACGCACCACGATGCCATCCTCGATGAGGACCTTGCGGAGGCCGACCTGTACCTTGGCAAGCTGTTCCTCTCTTCCCCTTGGGGAATTCGGCAGGATCGTCGTCCGTGGCCACATGAAAGTTGCCACGACGAGCCTTCAGGCCAGTAATGCTGGAGGCATCGGAGCAAGGAGTTCGAATGGTTCCAGTCCTTCGTTATGTAGTATTAGCTGGTGCCTCTTCACTTACTGCTTGTGCAGCGGGGTTCTAGGACTCATCTCAAGCAGGCAGGTATGTTGTAAAGCTGGGGAATAGCATACAGTGCATAACAGCTTGATGACTGGACATTGACTTTCTGTATGTACCGTTGGTTGGGCCTACATGCGCTGAAGAATCGATGCTTCGGTGGCTACGCTAGCCGGAGCAACTGCCTTCAGAGCCCGAGTGCATGCTGAAGAGGAGGTTCGAGACCCTGACGGAATTCATATAGCAGCTGATGTGGTGCAGCATTCTTGACGATCTCCTACCTTTTCTGTCTGATTTTGCGTTACGGATCGAGGTCCAACCACTTGTAGACGTCATGTTGGCGTGCTGTAGTGCAGTGGTCTAGCCTCAAGCGTCATTGTGAGCATGACATCATTTCTCATCACTCCCTTGTGATATGTGTCTGTCCTCCCTTTTCTTCTTAACTTCACCCACCTACAGTTTCAAATCTGTTCTGCGCATTGAAACTTTCCATTCAAGCAAATCCATCAACTCTACACCCTAATCTACACTCTAATACCTTCCAAGGTTGACGACTTCGACCTCGTCTTCAACAGCTTCCGTCGAGCAGTACCACAAGCCAAAACACTCCTCTCAAGACAAACCAAAAACCTCCAGCCAAAATGTCTTTCCTTACCGAGATGACCTTCCGCCGCATGGCAACAATCTCCCGTACTGCCGCACGCTCTTCCAACTTCACATCCACCGTGCCACGAGCAGCCTTCTCTACCACCGTCCAGCTGCAGAAGAACCCCGTGGATGTTGCCAAGGATGGCCTGAAGAAGGTGGACCGCGCAGTGTCTGACAAGCTCGTCGACGGCATCGAGATTGGAAGTAAGTGGAAACAACAAAACGCTGGTTGTCGGAAGAGCATGGGGAGTGCGATAGCTAACCGCAGGAACAGCTGCTGCCAAGGACAAGGTCAAGGAGGCCAGCGCCAACATCACCGGCGGCGACGTCAAGGGAAAGGCCGCCGAGCTACGCGGTGAAGCCGCTGGCAAGGCACAGGAGCTGAAGGGCGACGCAAACCAGGCTGCAGGCCAAGCTAAGGGCAAGGCTGCTGAGCTGAAGGGCGAGGCCCAGAAGAAGGCGAACGAGCTATAAGTGCTGGGCAAGGAGTACATGGGGTCAGTACACTCACACTTGACGACGACACGATGACAAGTTGGTTTCCCTCCGCGCCACAAGAGGGGGGCATCTTGATCAGCTGTACTTTTACTACTTTTTTACGGCATTGCATTGCTCGGTGAAGGGTTTACCAACGGAATGAAAGTAAATATTTACCAAACTCATACTCGCCTCACCACTGCCAGTCTGTTCCCCTCACAGCCGCGAGTGACATGTCCTCCAGTGAGCATATGCTTGTCACCTTTTGTGACTGCTGATCTCTGATATACACTGTGAGGGTTTTACCCCGCCATCACCGCTTCACATGCAAGGACACCTACACAAGGTTCACAACACGGCGCTAAGCTGCGGACGAGCTCTAGGCAGATTGGCAGGGTAGCGGTGCAGCGCGGCGGGAGTGCTCCCACTGGCGAGCGATAAAGGCTAACAGTATTGCACTGCATACACCATATCAATACATGCGTGGTGATGGCGCCGCCGCCGCCAGCTATCTGCATGCGAGACATGGAGCCCCTCGGACCTACGCTGCAGGTCAGCTTACTCCAGGAACTCGGGAGGGGTTGTTCAGCGATTGATGAGACCCAACACCATGGTGTTGGCATTGCTACATTCTCGAGTGCGTCCAGATCTCATCGTCTTTCGGCATGACAGTCTAATACTGTCGTGGCTAGATTCCCTACGAGTCTACGACACTGCCTGTGCGAAAACGTCTCGTCGGTGTCTCTCCCAATATGAAGTCGACGAGTACAATGCTATGCATCCTGGCCCAAGTTTTGTTCTTGGCCCCGGTGTGTTCACCAGGAGGCATCCGCCGTCCAGTTGATACCACTTTCAGCTCCCTGGGGTCCAAGCTGTCCGAGGATGCCGACATATATTTCCCGGGCTCGGACGGCTTCGGAAACGGCACGGGCACTTGGGCAGCCAAGAAGCCCCAGCTGGACGCCTTGGTCAGGGTGGCGGCGGAGGAGGACGTTCAGATCACGGTATTTGAGAATGCCTCCTCCATCATGGCTCAAGAGCACTGACCAGGACACGCCGTGCAAACAAGATCCGGTTCGCCAACGCGTTGAACAGGCCGTTCCTTGCCATCACAGGCGGCCACGGCGAGACGTGGAATCTCGGCAACGTCAGGAACGGAATCGGTATCTCGATGCGAGGCATGGCGTACGTCCACGTCGCCGACGACGGTAGGAGCGCGACAATCGGCGGTGGGACCCAGTCGGGCGAGGTGATCGCGGCACTATGGTCCAGGGGAAAGCAAGCCGGTATGATACGATACCGTCATCTTTCTGTCTCTGACTATCTATCTATATCCTTATATCAGCCACTTACTGATCGATGTGGGTACACTCCCTTAGTCGCCACAGCGTGTGACTGCGCCGGGATTATCTCTCCCATGCTCGGTGGGGGCCACGGTTGGCTTCAGGGGCAGCATGGCCTGTTGACTGACAACATCCTCTCGGCGCGTGTCGTGCTCGCCGACGGGACCGCCGTGACTGCTTCCCCAACGGTGAACAGTGACCTCTTCTGGGCACTCCGGGGTGCCGGCCACAATTTTGGAATCGTGACCTCGGTGGAATACCGTATCTTTGACGTCGAGCCGGGACAGGGCCGGCTGTGGGCATACGAGGAGTACGTCTTCAAGCAGGATAAGCTGGAGGCGTTGTTCGGGTGGGCGAACGGGCTGCTGCAAGGTGATACGGAGTCGCCGCGGCCAGTCGAGCTGGCACATTATGGGCACTTCGAATTCCGCCCCGACATTGACCCTGAAAATGTGAGCGCGCCTACTCTGTTCGTGTCGGCCAGAAGTGGATCATAAACAGATCATACTGACTCATTTCGAACCCAAAAGCCAATCATCGTGTTCTGGCTTATTTGGCAGGGCCGCGGGACCATTCCACCAGCGTATACAGATCGTGTTCGCGCCCTGCTTCCCGTAAGCATCAAAGCCGGCACCACGGACATCACGGGCATGAACGCCGTAGCAGGCGCAGCGTATGGCACGCCAGCTTGTGCGAAGGGGTCACTCAGCGCGATGCTGTTCGGCGTTTCACTGAAAAGATGGAGCATTGCGGGCCTGCGGGCGACGTTGGACATCTACAGCACCCTCCCGCCAGAGCTGCGCAACTCTTTCGTCCTCCTCGAGGCGTATTCGACGAGGGGAGTTGAGGCTGTCTCTGGTGACGAAACTGCGTACCCGGACCGTTTTAATCAGATCCTGGCTAGCCCGGCAATGTATTACCAGCCGGGGAACGCCAGCCTGGACGATATTGCGGCCGATTTTGGAGGGAGAATGAGGTATGCTTTGTTCAATGGTAGCGGGCAGCCTCTGCATGCATATGTGAATTACGCACACGGTGATGAAAGCCTTGGGGCGCTGTACGGCTATGAGGATTGGCGCCTGTGGAGGCTGAGCAGGCTCAAGGCTAAGTATGATCCCTTTGGAAAATTTGGGTTCTATGCACCCATCAACCCTGGAATTCCAGGAAAGCTCGGAGAAGGACCAGCCCCTTGAAGATTGTCGAGGGGAATGGACGATTGGAAGGATGGTGAAAGAGCCAGGAAATGCTGCCACGGTGAAAATCGATGGAAAGACTTGATCGGGCAATCAGGGAAGGTTGACGCCATCTGTCGATGATGAGACATTGATGTAGCTAAGATCCAGCTGGCTGCCTACATTTGTCTACTCCGAGACATTTTGGATCTGATCGTCCACGGTCTACTTGGGTGCCAAAGGAGAAGACAGGGCTGGCCGGTGAAGGCTTCGTATTTGCGAGACTTTTCCCACGTCGGGAGGTAATTTGGTTCTTGATCTATAGCCCAAGTACTTCGCTTGTCTGCTTATGCGTCTAACCACAATTCCGGTGGACTTCAACGCTGGGAAATCATAGAAGGATCGGGCCGGGGTGCTCACTTAGAGAATTGTCCCGACTCCGTCGGCGAGAGTAGATGCCACGGCCTTTATATTGTATCCCAGATCCCTGGTACTGTTGCCCATACAAGTCCGGTCGCACGTGGTAAGTGAGCATCCGGGTGGTCTTTGTCGACGTAGTTCGGATTAGCCCCCATCGTAAGGGGTCAGCCCAAGCCACAATGCGTAAGCAGCCCTAGACGCGACTCACTCGATCCTTCGTGCAAGAAAGCTGTTCGGACTGGACCCACATTTCTCGTAAAGCCCCTGCAGAAACCAGGTGTGCCACACTTTGACCATCCTGGATCTAAGCTATTTTTTCCTCCGGGGCCTGGTTCCTGGGGCAATCTCTACTCGATCCGCCTGAGAGCCAATGGAAGAAAGTGCAGGTCTGTGAGCTAAGTCGAGGATGGATCAGATCCTCAGGATTACATCCCGGACGGAGCTCGTTTCTTCGCGTTGCAGCGGAGGAACAAGTGTGCCTGTGGCTTGCTCAGCCTACTTGCCCGTCAATTCCTACTCGTCAGCATCAGACGTTGGACTTCAGCCGCAGACTTGCGAAAGTAGACATATAAATCTGTAAACATCCTTCTTTGGAAACTGCTGATGCTTTTGTACCACCAGTGCCCAAATCCGTTTAAGTAAGAAGGCAGCGGATAACACAGACCCGCTTAATTACAATCCTGCCATTCACTCGACGGACTCTGTAAGAGAATTCGATCTTTTCCTCAACACATTATTTAAACACTGCGAAAATGTCGTCGTCGCAACCTCTGTTCGCCAACTTGACGGAGCCTGAGATCGAAGAGCTCAACAGAAAGATACAAACGGGCTGCTACGCCTACACACCTCTTCTCGAGCCGAGTTATGGCTACATCCCAACTTTCGCTGGCGGCATCGTGCTGAGCATCCTGTTTGCCATTCCTTTCTTCTACCACACTTTCCGATCAATCCAACTGCGAAAAGTGTTGCACGCACATCCCTAACCCTGGTTTGCAACCACTTTTTAAAGTGCTTAAATAGCTAAATTTCTTTTATTTCTTCCTTTTATATTACTCTTAGGAAATAAATGTTTTTATAATTATATTTTTAAATTTATATAATATTTATAACCTTTTATAATTATAAGCTTAATTTATATAAAATTATTTTTTCTTTTTATAAGTTATAAATAAGCTATATAAAGTATATCTTAATTATATTTATTTTACATTATTTATTTTCTTTTAATTTTTTAAATATATATTTATATAATAATTATAAATACCTTTTTAAACCTTATTAATTAAGTAATTTATTTAAATATTTTTTTATTTAATTTCTTATATAATAATTTTATTATTAAATTAAAAAATAATAAAAATTTAAATACCTTAATATATAAAATATAACCCTTATTAAGTAATTTAATATAATCTTAAAATTAAATTCTTAATTTATATAATATATATAAAAAATTTAAAAAGCTTTATATAATAAATATTAAAAATATTTAAATAAAAATAAGCTTTTAAAAAATAAAATAATACTTATTTTATTTTATTTTTATTCTTTAATAAATTAAAAAGGGATATAATTAATATCTTTAATAATAAATTACCTTAACTTTTAATAAAGTAATTAAATTTAATAAAAAATAAAAGATTTAAAAATAAATATAAAAAATAATATTTAACTTAATTCTTTTTTTATATTTAATTTAAAAAAATAAATATAAGATATTATTTTATTTAATAAGTAATTTAAAGTATAAAAAATAACCTTATATTTTTTAAATTAAATATAATAAATACTTTTTAAATTTAATATTAATAATATTTTTAAAAAATAAAAATGTTAAAAATTAAATTATAATAATAATATTAAAATTTTATAAATTTATATTTATAAGCTTATATTTATAAATTATTTAAAATTAAAGAATTTATTAATTTAAATAATGTTTTATAAATAATTTTTAAATATTAAGAATTTATTAAATAAAATATATTAAGAAAATTAATTTATTTTTTAAAAACTTTATTTAAAAAATTAATAATATTTTTATATTATAATAAGCTTATATTAATATTTAAAAATATTATAATATTTATTATATTATAATTAAATATAATTATATTAATTTAGCTTTTATATAATTAATAATAAATAAATAAAGTATATAATTAATTTGGCTATAATGTAAAGGGTAAGTTGCAGCAAAGCTGCAGCCTTTCCTTATCTAGCTATAAGCTATTTATGGTGGTCCATATGCAGGGCACGTAACCGCCGGCTGGCAGCCGGCTGGCACCGGCTGGCAGCTGCTATTAATAAGACTAGTTTAAACCTTGCACCTTTAAATCTATGCATTGCATATGCGTACTTACTATATAAGCATGCCACGCCTATATATATTATTCTTACATTAGCAGTTTTTTATATATATATATATATATATGCTTTAAAATCATGCTTTTCCTTTAAATTATTGCTTAGCTAATTAAATTACTTAGTTAATATAAATATTTTATTTTTTAAGGGGTTATAAGGGGTTAAATGCCTTATAACCGTTATTTTAAAGGGCTAAATATAAGTATTTAAATATAAGTATTTAAATATAAATATATTTAAATATAAATATTTAAGTATAAATATTTAAATATAAATATTTAAGTATAAATATTTAAATATAAATATTTAAGTTGCTTAAATTGCTTAATTAAATTGTTTAATTATTAATACTTTAAAGCTTTAAAATATTTAAATATTATACTTTAATTAATTAAAAGTTTAAATTATAATTATTAATTTAATTATTATTATTAAAGTATTTATTAAAGTAATTATTATAAATATTATTAAAGTTATTACTTAATGTTAAGTAATTATCTTTTTTTTTAAGTTATAATTATTTTTATAAAAAATATAATAATTATTATTTTAAATAATTTCTTTTTAATTATTTCTTTATTTTCTTAATAATTCTTAATTATTATTTATTAAGGCTTATAATAATGTTAATTATATACTTAGCTTTTTTTAAAGTTATAATAATAATAATAATTATTAATATTATTAAAGTTTTAATAATTTTAATATTTTATATATATAATGTAATTAATTAAATAATATAAAAGGGTATTTTTATTAATATGCTTAATAGCCTTATAAGGAAAGAGGTTGCTAAGGAAGAGTTAGCTAAGGAAAAGGTTAATGAAAAGTAACTTATTAAGGATAAGTTAATTATAAAAAAGGTTATAATTACCTTTAAGGTTATTAAAAAGGAAGTTATAAAAAAGATTATAATTACCTTTAAGGCTATTAAGAAGAAAGCTATTAAGGAAGAGCTTATTAAAAAGGAAGCTATTAATAAGGAGGTTATTAAGGAAGAGTTAGCTAAGGAGGAATATTAAGATTATTAATATTATTAATATTATTTATTAACTTATTATAATAAGTATTAAAAATATATATCTTTAATTTATGCTTTAACTTAAATATTAAGTTATATTATTAATAAATAATATTTTTATATTATATATTTATAGCTTTTATAAATAACCTTATTATTATAATAACTTAAAGATTTATAAATATTTATAAATAATATTTAAAGGTAGTTATTTTTAAAAGATTTTAAGGAAAGTTAAATAGTTAAAGGGTAAGGGCTTTTTTATAGCTAATAATAAGTATTATTATTATTAAGGTTATTATTATTATTATTAAAGTAAATCTTAAGATAATTAATTATAAGGTAAAAAAAAAGGAAAAGAAAATATTTTTTTATTATATTTATAAATTAATAATTAGTTTTTAAATTATTTATTTATAAATAATAATGCTTAAATATTATTATTATTTAATAAATTAACTTATATTAATTTTAAAGTAATTTATGCTTAAGATTTTATTAAAAGGTATTAATAAAAAAGGCATTAAAAAGAAAAAAGTTATTAAGAAAAGAAAAAATTATACTTATTAATTAAATAAATTAGCTTTTATTAAAAAATAAATATTTTAAAGATTTAATTAAGTTATTTATATAATTAAATTAATAATAAATTTTAATTAATTTTTTTAATAATTTTAAATTAATTAAGTAAATAAAAGAATTATATTAATTATTTATTTATTAATACTTTAAAATATTAAGTTAAGCGTATTAATTAAATATATAAATTATTTAAAAAACGTTATTTATTAATACTTTAAAATATTTAAGTATTTTATGCTTTATTAAATATTTAAGGGTTTTTTTAAAAGGTTATAAGCTTTAAAAATATTATATAAATGCTTTAAAGAGCATTAATTATAAATAAGGGCTTTTAAGGGCTTAAAAATATTATAATATTATAAAAAAGGCTTAAAAGTATATTAATTATAAGTATAAAAGCGTTAATAATTAAAGGTATTATAAGGGATTTTTTAATAATTAAAAAAGGTTATAAAGGCTTAAAAATATTATAAAAAAGGCTTTTAATATAATATTTTTAATTATATTTAATAAAAGGGTTAAAGGGGTTAATTTTTTATACTTATAAATACTTATAAATAACTTTCTTATAAAGGTTTTATATTTATAAATATTTATAAATAATTTCTTATAAAAGTATTATAAGTTTTTATTACTTATAAATACTTATAAATAACTTTTAAAAACTTAATTATTTATGCTTATTAAGTAAGTATTAATTAATATTAATTTAGCTTTTATATAATTAATAATAAATAAATAAAATATATAATTAATTTAATTATAATATAAAGAATAAGTTATAATAAAGTTATAATCTTTTCTTATTTAATTATAAGCTATTTATAATAATTTATATGCAGGGCACGTGATCGCTAGCTGGTAGCTAGTTAGCACCAGCTGGCAACTATTATTAATAAAATTAGTTTAAACCTTGCATAATAAATGCAAAGGTGTGAAATTTAATAAATCCCCCCGTGTTTAAGGTAAATATACAGGGAATCTACCAATTTATATATATATATAGTAAATTTACTATAAATTTACTATAAATATATTATAAATGTTAATATTTATGATAGATTTTTAATAAATTTATAATAAAAATACCGTAAATATTAATATTTATAATAAATTTACTTAAAATAATTTATATTATATTAAATTCCCCTTAATTAATAATTTACCTTTATATATAATCTTTTAAATGCTTAAATAATTAATATAAATTAAGGTAGTTTAAATAATATAGTAAATTTATTAAAAAAAAAGCGATAAATACCTTAAGTTTAATAAAGCAATTATATATAAGCTATAAATTATTAATAATTAATATTATAAGTTTATATTATAATGTATTTTAATTTAACGTATTAATAATATGCAACTCGTTTTATTATATTAAGTTAATAATATAATAAATTACATTATATGGAATTTTATGGGCAATTAATTATAAATTACTTTATTAATAATATATATAAAATATATTTTAGCATAATAAATTATTAAAAGGAAAAGATAAGAATATTAATTTAATTTTTATAATTATTAATTATTAATAAATTTATATATTATAATAAATTTATTATAAAGCTATTAAATATAATTTATAAAAATATATAAATAATGTAATAGCTATAATTATATATTTATAAGGTAAGTTAAAATTATATATATAAATATTATAATTATTTATATATTTTTTCCTTATTATATTTCTTTATATTAATATAAAATTATTAATTTATAAATTAATTAATATATTAATTATTAAAGGGGAATAACTTAGCTTATTTTTATTTATAATAATATTAAATAATTAAAGCAAAGTAAAATAAAATAAAATAAAATAACTTCATTTTTTTTTATTCCTCGTTATAATAAAATATTAATATAATTATTTAGCTATTTATATATTAATATATTATGCAACTTAATTATTATTAATAATATTATTATTAATATAAAAGTTGCTTGCAGCTTCTTAAATTATATTTATTATTTTATTATTAATATTATTAATTATTAAATTAACCTTATTATTAATTAATATATAATACTTTATTATATTATAAATCTTAATATAATTAATTAAGCTAGTTATATAATAATGTATAATGTTTTAATTAATAATAATTAAAAACTTGCTATATTTAATTTTTTAAATATAAGTAATATTAGCTTAATTAATTTTATCCTTATTAATATAATAAGTTTTAATTATATTAAAGTTATAATTTATATATAATAAATTATATAAAATAAAGTTAATTAAAATATAATTAATTTTATTATTTAAATTAAAGAATTATAAAATATTAATAATTTTATATAAGCTAATAAAAAAAAATATATAAAATTAAGGTTATTATAATATACTTATTATAAATAAAAATAATAATAATATATTATTTCTTAATATTAAATATATTATTATATTAAGCAAGATAATTATTAATTAAGTTAATAATAATAAAATAATATAAGTTAAATTTAAAGTTAATAATTTTATTAAACTTACTTATAAATATAATAATATTTATATAAAAGTTTTTTATCTTTAGAAAAGTAATAATAATGGCTAAGTTAGTTTTTTTAAATTAAGTAATATTAACCTTTTTCTTTATAAGTAAGGTAAATAAGTTATTATAATTAAACTTAAGAATAATTAAATATATAAGCTTAATATCTTTTTTATTATTATTAAGGAAGTTAATAATTACCTTATGCTTATAATTAAGAATAATTAAGTTAAAGTTAAAGTTAAAATAATGAAAAATATTAATAAGGGATTAAGGCTTTTAAATTTTATTAAAGATTTAGCTAATTTTAATAATTAAAATTAAAATAGCAGCTTTATTTATTTTAATACTTATAATTTACTTAATTAAATATATACTTAAGTTTTTTATTATATAAATAAGGGTAATAGCAATAAAAATTATAATAATAACCTTTTTAATAATAATTAAAACCTTTTTATCTTAGTAAATAAATTAATTATATAAGTTATAAGCTTAATTCTTAAAAAGTATATTAAATTAATAGTTTTTTAAAATACTTTAATATTAATTATTAAGAAAAGGGTTATATAAATATAAGCTTAATAAGTTTTTATATTAATTAAAGGCAAGGAAGTTAATTATATACTCTTATTTATCTTTCTTTATTAATTTTAAATCCTTTAATATTTATTTACTTTTTTATATAATATTATAAAAGTCTTAATTATAATAAAGCAAGTAATTATAATTAATTTAATATAAAATAAGGTATTAATTAATTATAAATTTAGCTTATACTTTAATAATAAAATATTTAATAAAAAGGTTAAATAAGAAATTATAAGGAATAAAAATATTATATTTAATATTACGGTTAAGGAAGTTATTATACTTTTCTTTATAAAAAGTTTATTAAAAAGTAATATAATTATCTTAATAATAAATAAGCAAATTATTATAACGGTTTATAATAATATATATATAAAAAAATATATATATTTCTTTATTATATAAGTAAGTTGCTTAATAATAGCTTATTATTAATAATTTACTAGCTTTACATAGCTTAATTATTAAGTAATAATACTTTAATATATAACTTTATTATAAGTACGTTATGCTAGGGTTTTAATTTATTAAATATAAAATTATATAAAAGTTTAGCATAATAAAATTATTAATTTTAATAAGCTTATAATTATAATAATATTAAATTATTAAAAATAATAAATATTATTATATAATAAAATTAATAATAACTTTTAAGGTAATATATAAATAATTTATAAATAAAATAATTATTTAAATTTAATAATAAATAATATTAAAGAAAGTTAAGAAAATATATTATATATTTATAAATAAATAAAGTAAATTAATAAAGAAAGTAATTAAGTATATTAATTTATTATAAATTTATAATAAATTATTTATACTTAAGTAATTACTCTTTAAATAATTTATATATTATATTAATGCAATAAAATTATAATAATTAAGTTAATATTAATTTTTTTACTTAATAGCCTTCCTTACCTTATAAGTAAGTTTAGCTTAATATATAATAATATTATAGCATTTAAGCCACTCTTAACTCCCCTACTTAATAACCTTTTTTACCTTATTATTAAGCTTAATTAAAGAATATTTCCTAGCTTAAGGAATAAAGAATTTATTATAATATTATGCTTAGCTTATTAATAAAAGGCTTTTATTTTAACT